ATATATATATATATATATATATATATATATATATATATTTATTTATTTATTGTGGACCTGTTTTGTTTACATTTGTTACTAACCTAAGATAACATTTTCTGAGCGAGTTAGACACTGCATTAAGTACCGAGCCATTCTTCAATAAAGGCTTTCCAGTGTAACGAGAAGTGAAGGTATTTGTGATCAATTATAAAGCTACATTTTACCGTAATTTGCAGTAAAATCCCCACCAAAAGTAATTAAGGCACTCATGGGGTTAAAAATACTGTAATATGACGTAGGGATCGGATTAGCCAATCAGGCTGTGGGGGCGTGGTAAATCTCGGAAGCATAGGGCGGAGCTTCACGGCAGCGTTTAGCTGGCACGAAAGTTTGCTTTGTGTGAGTAACTGAAACAAGTATGCAGATATTATAGTGCGGGAATTGTTGCGATATGATAATGCAACGAGGAAGCTTGTGTAAATAAATCATTTCATATATTTAATGACGTGTTTGAGCAAATGAAAAAATCTTGATGCACTTCACATCCTGGTTGAACTATTGAAATTGATTGTCATGAAAACAGACCACAAGCTCCTCATATTTCCTTAATATTATATATATATATATATATATATATATTCCTTGATATATAATCAAGTATTTTGTTGAATGTGTTGTGAAATGGTGATAAAGTAATTTATCAAACGTATTTATTCTGTTTTATTCTATCACAGAGAATTACATCTTTGATATGTTAATAATCTGTAAATTTGACTATGCAATGCATGACTACTGTTATCTATGAAACAGCTTTGGTAATATCCTCTGAAATACAGTTTAAACTTACTTTTAATCCAGTTTCTTATGCTGCTTAATTTTGGAAATCAAGTTGTCTGCAGAACAGGAACACTCCCGATGTAGTGACAACTGACCCATTGCAGGTTTGAAGACAGATTAACCAATTAGTGTGTATCATCTTAACCTGCAGGTTCAGCTTTCATGACTCCAAAATGGGAGCTGGTATCTCTACCTCGATGGGAGATGACGGCATACTGGATTCTCTCCTTCTTCTCCCATCTCTATTCTTTCTACCAGTTGCACAGGTTTTCTAAAGGTGAGCTGCCATCTGCCCAGAACAAAATGCAATTCTCCAGCTTACAAAAAAGGATCTCAGGAATCTTAGATCTCAGTAATTATATAATTTCACAATACTTAATTATCAAAGGAAAACAGATTCAAATCCCAAACCTAATACATACTTATACTTAATCCTCATCCGTCCCTCGGGTCATTTTGACCCAAAAAGTTTTTTCAAAAAAATTCTAAAAATCGTGTGTTGACCGTACCGGTCCAAGATTTCTTTACTTCGTTCAGACTTGCACCGGGAATACACACAAAAATTTGAGTGGATTCGAGGAGTTTAAATGGGTGCAATAAAAAAAAAGTAACAAAAGTGTCCCTCGTGGGTCATTTTGGCCTGCATAGGAATGAATGGAATTTACGAGAATCCAGTAAATATTTATACCCAAACGAAGGGCTAAGACTACAGAATATCCTCAATACACACACACACATGCACAAACACACACATGGTACTACACACACTCTCATAGAACACATTGTAATATTTTTCATGTTTCTCCTGGGATATGACTGTCATTTTTTCCTTTTTTCTTTACGTAACAGTTAGATTTGAGTGATGTGGGGAAGACCAATGAGTTTATATCATATTTATAGTTTTAAAAATATATATTTATTTCATATTTATGTAATTGTATGAATATGCATATGTTTAGGTTATAATTGAGTTAGAATTTTATTTATTTTTTTACAAAATTTGGATTTTGTAATGTTTCAATATATATTTTAATCCATAAACAAACAAATTGAAGCTTTAAGATTATCTAATTTCTCATGTTTCACTGGTTTTGCTCATTTAAAAATCTTCTTAGGGTTCTATAGGCCCCTCTAGTGGCTGTAACCATAAAACGCAATTTTATGTCATTTTTCTCCACCAGATAGCATCAGAGACACTCGGTGACTCAAGGCCATCTGTTGGTTTTTGATGAAACAGGACTGAAATTGCATCTTTCTTTGTTTTGTTTTTTTGGTGAAATAATGTACAAAAACTGCTTATTTGCTTATGTTTTCTTAAAAATATCCAGAATAAAAGGTAAATATGATAAAAAATCACCAAAAAATAATAGGAAAAACCTACATAAAAAATGTGAAAAAATATATATAAAAATGTTCCAACATAAGCTTTCTGGACCAAAAATAAAATTAGTGTCAATTTTGGCCTTCGGGTCATTTTGACCCACGAGGGACACTTTTTTATAGGTTCGGGAGGGACGGATAAGAATAAGCAAAAAAATTTGCAACAGAACAAGATGCATATTGCATAACCATTAGACAGCCACCACCCCACAAATTTGTCCGCTAGACATAAACAAAACATGAATTATTCAATGAATACCATATACCTGTTCAATCATTTATTTGGATGAAATTAATATAAAATAAAAAATTTTGCTGCAATTTTAGTGCACACATGGGCTTTACTCTATGACGTGTTCGTTTGAAAAGGGCTGCTGTGGTGTGTGTGTGTGTGTGTGTGTGTGTGTGTGTGTTGGGGGGGGTTGCTCGTTCTTGTCATGTTAACTGCTGACTCTAAGGGCTCTGAAAAGGTTGTACTGTCATTTTGAGGGACGATGGGATCTCAGGTCAGCAAAAGGCTACACACAGCACCCATTTTTTATCTCTTTCAACCAGACATGCCAGTCAAAAAAGTGCAAAAATAAAGCTTCAAAATAGGGTCCTCATGCACAGAGAAAACACTGCATAGATAATAACAGTGAGTGAAACTGCTGATACATTTAAACCTAAATCTTTTAGCCATCAGACAAACAGCGTTTTTAAAGAACGCCATCTAGTCGTTAAGTTATGTTGTCTGAGAGAAAACATGTTGAAGCTGAACTGAATACTTGAGATGCTAGGCAAAACATTTACTTTATATATTTGTAAAGGAAATCAGTCAGTCAGTGTTCTTTAGTTTTATTCACAGGTTGAACATGGCAAACTGGTTAATTTTTATCTTTAATATTGCTTTTTGTGTCTAATCGCTTAGGTCTGACATTTTTTGATCCTGAAGACACGTTAAACACCATTAATCACATTGTCTTTGACGTGATTCAATATACAAAATATGACTCCAGGTCAGTGACACATAAGATCTATATCACAGCAAACATGCCCATGAGAAGACTTTGTGCAGTCTTTGTGTTCCAACATAGTGAAACCACCAGATGGCACCGTGCTCTTACTTCTATTTCCGTGTACACTTTTATTTCCAGAAAAAGTGTGCGTGTTTATGATAGTGTGGATAGATCCTTGCCTGCAAGTGCACCCTGCAGGAAAACCGTCTGTCGAGGTGATGAGAGGTCTGTCCTGAGAAACTGGATGAAGAGAGAGAGGGGCGGGGTGGAGAAAACGATACCAAACTGACACTGCATTGCAGGGGAGAAAGAATAGAGTTAATACATGTATGCAGAGAATATGCAAGTGATCTTATCCTTCATCTGAAACTTCCAACTACAAGATCCAATATTCAGAATTTTTTCATCCATTTTTCAACACGTGCCTTGAAGTTCTTGTGTTCTGCGCAGTGACACAGTTGATTTGAAGGGATTTTTCACCTAAAAATGAAAATTCTGTCATCATTTCAAACCTGTATGACTTACTTTCTTCTGTGGAAAACCAAGGAGAAGTTTAGCAGAATGTCAGAGCTGCTTTCACCCTGACAAAAGTGGATGGTGACAAGTTCGCATTTATTGTAATAACTTGGATGTTCTGCTAAACTTTCCCTTGAAAACCATACAGGTTTGGAATAACATGAGGGTGAGAAAACAGAATGACAGAATAATAATTTTTTGGTGAACCATCTCTTCAAGAGAAATTTTGCTTTGAAACCGTCATGTCCTATAGTGTCCGTATCATAAAAGTGGAGAATGACGTGAATGCTGAACATCTTAGATAAGTGGTTCTCAACCAGGGGGCTAGGGCCCACTAAGGGGTCTCAACAAATGTCTAAGGGGGTCTTAAGGGATGTCAGAATATGTTAAAGGGGTCATATGATGCTTTTTTTAAAGATCATTATTTTGTGTATTTGGTGTAACAGAATATGTTGATATGCTTTAATGTTCAAAAAACACATTCTTTTTCAAATACTGTACATTATTGTAGGTCCTCTATGCCCCGCCTCTCTCAAACGCTTCGTTTTCTACAAAGTCCCTCCTTCCGACAAGCACAGTCTGCTCTGATTGGCCAGCTGACCCAGTGCATTGTGATTGGCTGAACACCACAAGCACTCGTCGGAAATGTAACGCCCCTTACCATAATCGCGAGCTTCTTATTTCAAAATAAATGTAAAGACAGTAAATCAGTTTTTACCATCAGTTCAAGCCCAAAAGGTGAACAGTCGCGTGACAGACAGTGATGAAGCTGGCTTTAGTCTTTGCAACTTCAGGGATCGTATCTATGCACAATCGGCTTGTAACACTCCAAAGAGAAAGGAAAACTTGAAATCGCATCATATGACCCCTTTAAAATAATACAAAACATGCATCAAAATAAGCCAAAACAACTAAAATAAAGATATATCTTATTTTAATTCACGCCCTCAACAACTGTATTAAAAAAACATGGGTATATGATGAAGCCTAATTTTAAAAGTGTGATCTCTAGGCCTGGAAAAGTCATATAAGTTAATAAAATCATAAACTCCATAGATGTTTTTATAGTGAATATTATGAATGAATATTATAAATAAATTTTTCAGTTATACCAAGCTAAATTTTTACTTATGCCAAGCTATTTTTTATTTGATATATTATACTTTATATTAGCTAATTTTATTTTAGCAATTGTGATTTTATTTTTTTAAATCTTTATCCTTAATCCTTGTCGAGTAAATCATAGTAATTGGACCTTGTTGTGAGCAATAGGGGACCATGGAATCAAAAAAGTCTTAAATGTTTATTATGTGTTGTATAGTTCTTGTGAATTAGATTTTGGGAACACCAAAAATACATTTGCCAAATACACTTCATCAAGGTGTATACTCACTTGGCCAGTAACCATAATTCTGATTTTAGTTAGCTAAAATAGTCCTGTGTGCGGACTTTGTTTACCTCCCGAATAGTGTGTGGGAAATGTGTTTTCTTTGTGTGATTGACAGAGCATGAGGTCAGCCTGGACAGAGAGGTGCAGCTGGAGAGAGGATTCCTTATATGGGGATTCAAGAAGGTGAGAGAACACGTGGTAATTATATTAGTGACTTTAATCAGGGTGACACATTTGGCTGATGCACCCCACCAACCCCAATTTCCTGTTTCCCGCTCAATCATCAATTTCGTTTTATACAGAAATGCTAAACACACAGACACTCCATGCGTGTATGCATTTGTATATGTTTGGGTTTTTCTGTCTGTGTTTTTTTAGGACCCTACTGATTTTGAGTGGAGTTTTTGGAATGAGTGGGCGTGGCAATCTCTTTTGTGGTCTCTGATTGGCCATGCTGTGGTGTCCAGATTAGCGGCTTATTTTCTGCCTCAGGTAAGTTTAATTCAGAGCAAGTGAACTTGAGCAAAGTCATCAAATATTTGCATGTTTCTAAATTTTTTCTTGTGCATTTATGTTACAGTTCCGACTGGCAGTCTTAACGGTGTATGGCGTCCTCTCAGCTGGTTGGCTTCTGGGAGTGCGGGGCTTGACTCTTTTGATGCTGCATCTGAGCATCACACTGGTGGTTGCTCAGCTACGTAGCTCCATCCTCTCATGGGTTTGCTCCCTCCTGCTGCTCTCCACGCTCAATGTCACTGCCTTTCAGGATTTTCAGGTGTGTATATGTGTGTGTGTGTGTGTCAGTAATAGCTGTAAACCATGTATGTGATGCACCAAATTTTCTTTTCCTCTAAAGATGCATGAAAGTGTCCAATTTAAAGGGTTTGTTCACCCAAAAATGAAAGTCTGTCCTCATTTACTCACTTTCATGTTGTTCCAAGTCGTTATGGCTTTTTTTTTTCTTGGAACACAAAAGGAGATATTTGAATGATGTGCTGGTTGCTTTTTCCATGAAATTATCATGAGCGATGGCTAGATCTTTCAAGCTTAAAAAAGGATGCAAAACCACATAAATGTATCATAAAACTGTCAAAAAAATGGCCATATGACTCGTGCACCATATTCAGTATTCATGAGGGAAATAGCGATGCCTGACTTGAATTTGCCTTTCAGGATTTTCAGGTGTGTATATGTGTGTGTGTGTGTGTCAGTAATAGCTGTAAACCATGTATGTGATGCACCAAATTTTCTTTTCCTCTAAAGATGCATGAAAGTGTCCAATTTAAAGGGTTTGTTCACCCAAAAATGAAAGTCTGTCCTCATTTACTCACTTTCATGTTGTTCCAAGTCGTTATGGCTTTTTTTTTTCTTGGAACACAAAAGGAGATATTTGAATGATGTGCTGGTTGCTTTTTCCATGAAATTATCATGAGCGATGGCTAGATCTTTCAAGCTTAAAAAAGGATGCAAAACCACATAAATGTATCATAAAACTGTCAAAAAAAATGGCCATATGACTCGTGCACCATATTCAGTATTCATGAGGGAAATAGCGATGCCTGACTTGAATGAATTGTTCTTTTGAATCAAAACTGTTGTCAATAGCTTAATTTCAGAGAGGTTGCATTCAGTAGTGTTTGTGCACCACACTCAGCGGTCCTGCAAAAGTAATGTAGGTTGTGAGGAAATCAGAAATTTCCAAGATGTTGTGTATATAATTTGCAGGTCTAAGTATCAATATGTGGGAGCTTCCAGACTTCCCAGGAGAGGAGGAGTGTCTGCAGTTTTCATAATTTTAGTTTAGGTTTTAGCAAGTTTATGTTATTTGAATATCTCTATTTGGCTTTAATTTATTTGATTTATTTTTCAGTTTAATTTTTAATAGTTTTAGTACTTAAGCTTAAATTTATTTAATTTAGTTGCCAAGGTAACATTTCTAATTGTCTGGTTTTCTTAGTTTTTCATCTTATATTTATATTTTATTTAATTTCAGTAACAAAATGTAATTATTTTATTTCTAATAACAACAAAAAAAAATTTTTTAATAGTTTTAACATTTTTTAGTTTTAGTTAGCAATTACAAAACTGGTTGATTTGGTTGTGAAAACCATTATGAATGGTTCATGGATAAGTCAAACTGATTTATTCAACTTATTTCTTAAGTTAAAAGTTCCCTGGAGGTAAAGATTATTAGTGAATAGCTTCAGTTTTGGTCTATTTCTCACACAAATGTTTTATGGCTTCAGGAGGCTTGAAATATAGAACATGAATCACATGGAGCAGTTGTGTGCCCTTTTATGAACATTAAAGTGTTAGTTCACCCAAAAATGAAAATTAGGCTGTGTTTTACTCACCCCCGAGGCATCCTAGGTGTATATGACTCTTCTTTCAGATGAATCCAGTCGGAGTTATATAAAAAATTGTCCTGGCTATTCCAAGCTCTATCATTGCAGTCAGCGGGTGTTGCAGTGCTTCAGTCCAAAATAAGTGAAATAAAAAGCACCCATCCATAAAAAAAGTGTCTCACACTGCTCCGGGGGGTGAACAAAGGACTGTAGCGAAACGATGCGTTTTTGTAAGACAAATATCCATATTCAAAACGTAATAATCACTTTAATCTAGCTTGTGCCAACAGTTGTACACGGAAGCAGCTCCAGGCGGATGACGTATGAGGTCAGCGTTGCGCATGCACCGGTGAGTCTCGTGAAAACCAACGTTTGTTTACAGGAGCAAAGGAAGCAAAGTTTCCTTAATTTAGCAAAGGGAATCCGGTCTCCTCTTGGCTTATATCGAAATCCTCTGACATTCTTCTTTACAAATCCTCGTTTTGTACTTCTAATTAGTGACCGTTTTTTTGTTTTGATCTCTGCGCTGCATTTCCACGTGCGTCACTTCTGAGTGGCGCATGCGCAACGCTGACCTTATACGTAATTCCCCTGGAACTGCTTCCGTTTACAACAGTGAGCACAAGCTAGATTCAAGTGATTTTTACGTTTTGAATATGGAGATTTTTCTTACAAAAACGCATCGATTTCGCTACAGGAGGACTTTGTTCACCCCGGGGAGCCATGTGAGACACTTTTTTTTTAATGGATGGGCGCTTTTTATTTCACTTCTTTTGGACTGAAGCACTGCAACACCCGCTGACTGCAATGATAGAGCTTAGAATAGCCAGGACAATTTTTAATCTAACTCTGACAGGATTTGTCTGACAGAAGAAAGTCATATACACCTAGGATGCCTCGGGGGTGAGTAAAACACAGCCTAATTTTCATTTTTGGGTGAACTAACCCTTTAAAAGCTTAAATTCCCATTTATTTTAATTGCATGGAAAAGAGTGACCAGCACAATCTTCAGAATTTCTCCTTTTGTGTTCCACAAAGTAAGGCATACAGGTTTGATGAAATGGTATTTGGATGAACTACCTGTATCCCTTTAAAGCTATCTGTATTGATGGGGTGAGGTGGGATGGACCGAGTGAGGGATTTGTCTGGATCAGGTCCAGCAGAGTCTGTGCTGTCTCCAGGGCTCTCAGAGCACATCTGCAGAGCTCCGCAGAGAGAATGGAGATGAGACTGAAACAAGCCTGCATTAAATGTCACCATTCTCTTCACACTCTCAAACAGTCTCCCATGCAAATATTCAAAGTCAAACGTTTACATGCACAACAGTGCTTGTGTATTTCCTTTTTTGCCGCACAATAGATGTTATAACAGCACACCAAAAAGAGCCAGCTGTCTCCCAGAAGGTCTTGTTTTTTTGTTTGTTTCTTTATCTGCTTAGTCACTTGACACAGTGAATGATTGATTGACAGCTGTCATTAGATATCTGACTGAAGGGGAAAGCAACGAGATCAACAAGCTCGAGCAGATGGAGAGGAGGAAAGAGACAGAGGGAATATTGATCTGAGTGACAAATGAGTTCCCTCCTTTCCTCGAGTTTCTCCTTGATTAATTGTGACACAGGCCCAAAGCTTCCCCTCTTAATTAAACCTTCATTTAATTATTATTTATTACTCAAAGCGGTCATTAGCATACCCATCTGAAGAACAAACAACTGTAATTTAATCTAATGTGATTTTTATTAGCTTTTAATTATCTTTTTTTTCAGTACATCTCATTTTACCTCAGTTACTTAAGGAAAAACCCTCAGGAAGACAGCAATACCATGCAGCTACCGCAGAGATCGCCATAATGACATACAAAGAAAAAACAGTGCATCAGCCAGTGACTAATTTCAGAACGCTGCCCTGTCATTTAGTGTAATTTAGAGGTGGTTATAGCTTTATTTTTGAGTGGCGATAATGAGTTTTTGAAAGTGGCTGCTGCTGTGTCTCCTGGCTGGATGCCAGCTGTCATCTTCCGAGCATGCCCAGTAGATCATAATAGTTTAGTTTCACCACAGGATCAGTGGATGCTGGTCTGAGGTGGAGAATTCTGGAAAGATGGAGCTGTGGTTTACAGCGGTTATTCATCACTTACACAGTAGCCTAGCGAACACTACTCAGTCGCTGTAATATTGTTAAGGAGCTGTCATTGCTTAACTGGAAAAATAATGACTAAATGATAAATAATAATAAAGCCTACAGAAGCCTGAATCTAATCCTGAACAAACAAAATTTATTTTTATTTGGGGGCTTTGGCAGAATTAGTAGAGGGTGACCGGAAGTTATTTGGGGAATGGGATCTGAATATATTGGAGCAATTCTTTTTTCTGTTTTTGTGGTCAGGCTGCACAGCTGTCCCTTCTGTCTGTGATTTTCTTTTTCTATGAATTTTGTAGATTGTAGATTGTGGTCCTGCTTCACCAGTTCTGACAAGATTGTGTCCTCGACTCCTCCTCTATATTTATTTATTTATTTAATTAAAAAACTTTTTTTTTTGAGGGGACACCAATGGCACTCCAGACTGACCTAATAATAATAATAACAATAATATATTACGAACGATTAATTAAAAAATAACAAAACAAATTCTCCCTGTTGCTACCACAGAGGCACATGCATCTATTAGCGCCAGCTTAATTGCAATTTAGATTTACACTGATATGCAGTTTCCTGATTTGTTTGGTTAATTGAAATGGGTTTTAAATGTTTTTTTCTTGATTTTTTTAATTTGTCTCTAGCGTGGTTGGTACACTTCTGAGGACCAGTACTACCTCTTGCTCTTCAGTACTGCTGTTTGTAGTTTGCACTGCATTAGCTTTAGTCTGGAGCTGTGCTGGCGCCCCCTGCAGGCTGGAGGACCAAACCACTGCCACCCTATAGAGGTTAAACGACTGAAGACACTCATTTTACAGTTCTACAAGCTCACTGCCTACTGTTTCTATCACCCTCTGTTTTACAACGGACCCATTGTGACCTTCAGAGACTTCAGTGAACAGGTAGAAGAAAATTAGATACCTAAAAGGCTGCAGGGTCTGTGCTTTATCCAGATGTACTATGAATGTCTTTCTCTGTCTCTGCAGATAGACAGGCCAGTGTGTAAAGTCTCTGTGGTGTATGTGTTGAGTGGAATACTGCGTGTGTGTGTCTGGTGGTGTTTAGCCGAATTCATGATCCACTTCATGTACATGCACGCCATCCAGAGCAACGAAACCTACTTGGAGATGCTGCCACCCTGGGCGCTGGGTAAGTTTGTGGCTGCATATGAATTCATGAACTTTCATAGTATTTACTGAATTTGATGAAGAATGTCTCAACAGTCTTTAGGATGCAGGTGTGTAGTATGAATGCATTTCTAGACACACTACATCTGTCATGTTGGCCTTGTCCTTTTGAAGTTTTTTGACCTAAGACGTGCTACCAACAACCACAAATACAGTCTACTTTGTATCAAATAAGTACACTACCATTAAAAAGCTTGGGGTTAGTAAGATTTTTTGGGATGTTTTGAAAGAAGTCTTTTAGGTTTAATTTATTTGATGAAAAATACAGTATAAACTGTAATATTGTGAAATATTATAATAATATAAAATAACTGTTTTTAATAATAACAGTGTTGAAAAAACGTGTGCTGCTTAATATTTTTGTGCAAACTGTGATACACTTTTTTTCAGGATTCGTTGATGAGCAGAAAAAACAGCATTTATTGGAAATAGAAATCTTTTGAAATGTCTTTTATTATCTTGTTTAATCAATTTCTTTAAAAAAAAATCTTACTGACCTCTAATGTTTAAACCGTAGTATATCCCCAAGTATCAACTTTCATGGAAACTGCTGTGCTTATACTTGAATATAGTAACTCTTTTTAAATCGGATGGCTCCTTGGCTCTGTCATATAGCAAAGTGTCCAGAATTTCATGCTGTATATGATCTGAGTATTGCTAGCCTGCTATATCATGAGTTTTTCAACATCTTACATTTTTGGCATATTGCTGTTTGCATTGAAGTATGGATATTTGAACTCAGTGAGTATTTTTTTATCCAATTTATGTCTTTCAGAATGGATACAGTCTGTCATGGTATAACTGCTGTTATTTTGGGTGTGAACGTGTTTATTACATTATTATCTTGCACAGATGTTCACAACGAAAACACACACACACACAGTTTATTGATCTGTGGAAGTTGCTGATTTGTGCTGCCTGAACTTTGATTCAAAAACACAGACACTGCAAGAGAGAGCAGTGTAGAGAGGGTCTATACAGCAGGAACATCGAGTCATTATCGCCACTTTGTACCTGTTTTGTACAGAAAGGGCTTGCAGAAATTCTGTCCTTTAAGCTTTTAGCTCTGTACCAGTGGGATATGGGAAAGACAGATGCTGTTCTCAGTTTCCACTTATACACAGAAAGAGAGAAGCGAAGAGGGAGAGATGACTAGAGAGGATGAGGATGATAGAACTAAATTATGAAACAGCTCAGAATAAAACTGAAATCTGATATAAATCATCAAATCTGCACTTCTTCTCAGCCAGAATGGGATGAACGGACGAAATGAGGTTAGCATATACTCCATGGCCAAAACTGTGGCACCTGATGTGGCCGAACAGCCCTGTCATTTCAGATGTTTAAAAGGCAAATGTCTGTGTGAGATCAATCACATGGTTGCTTTACTTTTTAATGTCATGTACCACTCTCTCTTTTTCACCTGCAGGTGGTTTGGCTCTTGCATTGGTCCAGTTTTTTTATGTAAAGTATCTGGTCTTGTTTGGAGTGGTGTCTCTGCTTGTCAGATTGGATGGGCTTGAGCCGCCCAAGTTACCACGCTGTGTCAGCATCATGTACAGCTTCACTGGGATGTGGAGGTAAATATACACACACTTCTGTGTTCTGTCAAACCTCAAAATTTCTGCCTTTTGACTTTATAGAGCTGGATTGGACTGATTTTGAAGTGATTCTGTCATCCCCTGCAGTACTTCTGTGTAACATCAGGGGGCAGAGCTGTACTGCATTCACTATAATTGATTCAGCCATGAAACAATTGGCACAATGCTATAAGACTCACTTACACCCATCTACAAGCACATTACAGGAGCATGACAAGATATATGCTTTCTGTTTAGTGTCACAAACATCTTGCATTAAACGTATGGAATTGAGCATTCGGCTTCCCTGATGGAGTTTAGCGCTCTGATGTCTCATGAGACGATGTAGAACAGGCTGGTACAATCAGGCTTCCTGCAAGATGATTGGATTTTACTTTAAAAGCTTGAAAGCTTGATGAAGATACACAGCATTTCAACTTCAATAGTCTGGAATGGTCTCCTATGCAACCAACACCAGTCTGGAAACAGCAGAGTGTTTAGATTTTCTGATCTTTTTTTTTCATCACATTCTTTAAACTTGGTAGAATGTGCACGTTTCTACTGATATATTTGCTTACTTTCATAAATCCATAGTGCAATGTGCAAAGGACTCTAATCAAATTAAATAATAATAACAATAATTACTGAAATAGCACTAAGGTAAGATTTTTTTTGTTGAATGCTGCACCAAGGCTGCATTTATTTGATCAGAATTACAGTAAAAAAATATTACTATATTGTAATATTATTACAATTTTAAATAACTGTTTTCAGTTTGAATATGTATTAAAGATGTAATTTATTCCTGTCATGGCAATCAGCCATCACCCCAGTCTTCAGTGTCACATGATCTTTCAGAAATCATTCTAATATGCTGATTTTCTGCATTTCTTGTTCTTATCAATGTTGAGAACAATTATGCTTCTTACTGTTTTTGTGGAAATCATTATACTTTTTCAGTGTTCTTTGATGAATAGAAAGTTCAATGAAATAGAAATCATTTGTAAAATTTATAATGTCTTTACTGTTACTTTTGATCAATTTAATGCATCCTTGTTGAATAAAAGTGTTAATTTTCCAAACATTTTTATGGTAGTTTATATATAATATATAAACTTCTGCATTATATACTATAGTATTAACCATCACTGCCAAAAAAAAAGATATTAAACCTCATGACACAAAAACTCTGAAAGCTTATTTTAGATTTCATGTTTGTTTAAAATTATTTTAAATGGTCTTAAATTATTTTACAGTAGTAAAAACAACAACTAACTGTAATAACTTCACGTAATGATCTACTTCACTATACCAGTGATTGTCAGTTAATTTTCATAACAGCAGATCATTGTCACTCAACGTCGTGTAGATAGAGTGACACTATCTTCTGTTTCCTGTGTAATCGTGCATGTTTTTGTGTATATCAGCAGATCTGCGCTGCTGAAGCTCTGAGAGCCGGGAAGGTTAAACACCAGTGTGTGTGTCTGAGTGGTGTTGAAGGTGATGGAGTTTAGAGTGTGATAAATGAGAGCTGTAAGGAAACAGACGTATGCCGGAGACTTTAGCAGGACCTGCTGTAAGACCCCGCTTGGCTTCAATCCCACACAGAGAGAAGGAGCTCAGCTCCTCTGGACCCGATGGAGCGCAAGCACACACACTTTTTCCAACAGCTCAGCATAGCCTCAACACATTCGCACACACTGATATACTTCTAAACCCCACTCACATGCTCATATCTGTGTTTAATGGCTCAGAACCGCCGGATGCAACATACCGCGTGGAGACAGTACCCCATACTGCAGGACATCATAGTTTCTGATTACAGTGCAAGTATCCTACAGGGAGCAAACGAGATTGAGAACATTCAGAGAGAAAGAGAGGTTGAGATGTTGCTCTTGGCTGTAGTTAAATCTGGAGATTGCTTTGTCTGTGAGCGTGCATGTGTCTGCGCACACACGTGCATGAATGTGTGAGTATTGCTGTGTGTGCATGTGTGTGATTTAGTACGGTCACTATCATGGTCTGAGTTTACGGCGGTTGAAAGGTTTATGGGTTGCTATAAAACGCTGTTCGTTTAGTCTAGCATCAACACACACATTCTATACCATTTTGCTGACTCCTGCCTATAGCTTATCTGATCACTCTCAATGGATCTGTTTTTATGGGTCAGTGGAACAAGGCTATTATTTCCAATTTGGCATTAAATCTAAATTTGTTGTCTTAATGCATGTTTTTGGTCTTATTCTGAACAATTAAACCGAGCATTTTTAAAATAAAATTTATTCAACTTTGGTATTGTTAACCTTGACCTAAGCCAAAATGTCATAACTTGCTCTTTTTGTGATATGCCAACTTGGTGCTTATATGACCAAGTTAATTGCAATCCATTCAACTGATGGATAAAATCAAGTTATGCCATACTTGTTTTTTTTTGGCTTGTTCGATAGCCATTTAATTTCTAAAGTGAAATTCATTTTGATTTTTTATGGGGGCAGGTATAAAGTCAAACATGTCAGGATTATACATCCGTCCTGATACCATGATGAAGAAAAAAATCATTTTTAAAAGAAAGAAATTCTTAAAAAGAAATACTTCAGTAGTTTAGCAGAATTACGAGAAATGTGTAGGGAAAAAAACAGGAATGACATCACTGAGAGAACGTTGCAGACTATGTGTCAAGGACAATAAGTCTCTTAAAATGTCTAATAATTTGACCTACAGTATTTATGACAAGTCAAGGTTGTAAAATGTCATGTGGTGTGACTTGCTAAAAACATAACATTTATGAATTAATAATTCATGATCCTTGTAAAAAAAAAATACTTCTTACTTTGGAAAAAATATATTTCAAAATGTTTTTGAAAATAATTAATATATGCATACTCCCATATATTTGAAGTGTAGGGAAATATGCTGTTACTTGACTTTTTATTTTTATTATTAGAAGGATTAAATGTTTGTTTCTTGAAAATTGTATAAAAGTTTTTCCAAAACCATATGAAACCAACATGAATACAAAGACTACATTTCTAAAAACCCAATCTCTAGATCTTTCCTTTTCCTTATTTTTTCTTTATTGTTATTGATATTCGATATACTAAAAAATTGTCTTTTGTCCCTTAACAGCTCTCACCAATTTTTAGATTTTCATTAGAGCATTATTTAGTATGTTTATTGACACATGTTCCTCATGGGGACCGTTAGCTGGTCTTTTACTGCCCTTTTTACTACCCTTGTGAGGACATTAGGTCTCCACAATGTAGGCAGAACCTGACTCACTCTCTCTCACACACACATACACACAGTGAGAACGAGGCCAGGTTTTATGCTGATCTCTATTCTTTTCATCAGCTCACCTATAGTTTAGTGGTATCACGAGGAAAACCGCTGTGAGAAGTGTCTAGAAACTGTTTCCTTTAGGCCTGCTTTGTCAGATGATGTCTGAAGTTGAGAAGCCCTATCTGATGGAAACAGCAGGGTATTGAGTGAAGCTGTTCCGATGTGTATCTCACTTTCAGCTTCATGAACCACCATCTGACTTACAGCTCATGAATGACACCAGACATGAGATTCCAGCTCGGTTTGTTCTCTGTGTCTGTTTTAATAGCCCCTAGTTTATGTTCCACACGCATCTAGTGGAGTCAAATTGGCAATTCAGAGGGAATGTGTTGAATTGAATAGAATGGCAGCATCTTACTGTGGTGCTTTAGGCCTGAAATGTACAGATTGTATTGTAGTGATTCCTAAGCTGAAAAAATTGATATTTAGCTTTAATGAACCTAGAAAAACAGAAAAAAGCTAAAAAATTGTGTAATATATCCAGGGTTTTGAATATATTTGTGTTGACTCTTAGCAGAACTTTTACTACTAGTACCAATTTTTTAACTTTAATAATGATTTAGTGATGATAATAATAAATGACATAATTTGGTTTAATAATTCTGGTTTGGTGTTCATATAGAGCTTGGCCTGAATGATTGTAATGATGAAAGTTTACAGTAATTGCTTGGTATGAATCATCCCTTAAAGTATGTAAAACAAATGCATTGGCCAAACATTTGTGTAGTGTATTTCTGGACTTAAACAGTGGAGACAAGCACAACTGTATGTCTCCACATAATGTTTTATTAATATAGAGTGAAATTACTTCTGCTTTATCTGTTCTCCTAGCCTTCCCGGATGACTTTATTTCCCCAGAGCTGAAGCAGATTTCATCAATAGTTGCTAATGAATGCTGCGAAGTGCTGGAATGAATCAAACGATCCTGGACAATCTGATTCAGGAGTCATTATGTATCGTAGACCCCAGACCCAATCCATCCCCCTCCAGACAATCTCTCGCCTTTGTTTGGCCTTTCTCTCTCTCTCTCTCTCTCTCTCTCTCTCTCTCTCTCTCTCTCTCTCTCTCTCTGTCTTTCTCTCTTTTTTTCAGCACTGACGATTTTGAATTTGAGTTTCTGTTGGCTCATGAAAACTTCATGTCAGGGCTTTCTGTCATGTTAGCAGCCATTTGCTTGGACGTGTCAGTTTCCTTACAGGCCTGTTTTTAGAAGCAAGCGGCTCCAGTTCTTTACTGCTGTCTCTTGGGTCTGGGTGTATTTGGACTCAGTAAGCGACAGACTGCATATGAAAGCCTTATGGCCAGAAAACCGTCTGTTGGTGTCAAATTCGGATTGTGTGTTTGCTCTAATTGGATGAGATGATGGAGATATCCATTTTACTCTCCACTTACTCATCCATTTAAACCTTAATCCATTTTTCACTGTGAATTGTAAAATGAAAATTTTGACCCATCTTTCCATTCACCCATACTTAACAGCTGGTCGCTAGCAAATAGCATTTTGTCAGAATGAAGGAAGAGGGATTAAATGGTGATAGATGGATGACTAGAAGTAAAGTGAGGATAACAATAAGAGAAACTGTGGCTATAGTGATGACCTGAGGACATCTGTTCGCACCTGAAGAAGAAAAAGTCCTGCAGTGAAAGAAATTGAGTTACAAAGGGCCAAATCAATATTTTTGCTGTCATGATGGTTTGATACAAGCTACATGTCAAGGGGCACTTTATATTGTTTGTTAGAAACATACAGTATTATATAAAATTGAGATCCAGACCTGATATTCTTGTAGTTTCTAAAGATCAAGATATATATTTTAATTAATTTCAGCCCAGTTCAACATGATTTATTTTATTTTTAATTTTAATAATGTACATTTTTATTTCAACGTAAATGCAAATAATTTCTAATAATTAATTTCTTTTTTCATATGTATTTTTTTATTTATTTTATTTTTTAATTAAAAAGACCAGAGCTGTCTAGTGACCAGAATATCATATAGACTTGCAGATGCTCTCAGGCCATTAAAAATCCCCTAGCAGCCATCCAAAAGCAACCCCATGGCAACATCCTGACAACCACCTGACCTGTGACACACTAGCATTGTGGTTGCAAGTTTTGCATGGGCAAGTTGGTTTTCTCACTCACATTTCCTTCAGAAAATGAGCAAATATAGTTTCGTATGAATGCATGAATATTGTTTATGCCTACCAGTTTGTTTTTGTGTGTCCCAAACCTGCTACAAAGTCCAGTGTTAGACTGCAGCTCAACTAGATAAATGGCAAAACTGTTTTGGGATCAGCCGTTTTGAGAAAATGTCTCCTAGTTCTGTGACTATCTCACCAAATGCCAGCGTTTGTCCCCAGAGATTAATTAAAATGGTTTCCTCAAGCATCTCATTTATGCAGATTCTCTTCTCTTTTTGTCTGTTCAGATTAAACACATGTTTGTGTTGTGTCATGTTCTGAAATGCGTGTGTTACCTCAAACCATCTGTTTTTAACCCCTGAGCTCACTCGATACTGTCTTTTGCTTTTCAGACACTTTGACGTGGGGCTTTACAAATGGCTCATCAGGTACGATTCCTCTGTTCTTATTTTGTGTGGGTGTGCGACAGAGAGGGAGATGTTTTGCACTGCTATGGACACGATTATCTCTTGTTGCAGATTGGAAAGCACATGAATAGTACCATAATCACTAGAACAGCATTCTGGCATTATAAACTGGCAGTCTTGCATCTATTTTCTTTTGTTCTTGATAGATTTGAATGTTTTTTTTCTGCTCCCTTGTCATTTTAAAATGAAATTTACTGATATATAATACACAGATAAAACCTTCATATTTAGCAGCAACGTCACTTTTTTTAAAACAAGTTTTAACAGCAAACCCATTTAAGCTGGTGCATTAGCATACTTAGCTGAAGATGAAAGCAAAACTTGCGCAATTATCCTTCAGAAAGAAGAATGTTGCTATTGTCACGTTTTTAGATGTGCTTTAAGCCATTAAGGTAAAGTTTCTTAATGAACTTATGATATGTGACTGTGTGATGCCCAGATTTGGCTCAGTGGAAGAGACTCACACTACACACTACCGGTATATAGCCCTGTAAAGAAAATAATCTAACCAAATGACTCATTTACATTTAAATATACATGCAAATCAGTTATTATATATATATGTATATATATATATTGGTTCAAAATTATCCAATTTTATGCGGATGAGCTTCAAAATAGGGTGTGTTCCATACACTGAAGCCATCACTGTTATTGTGAACTGGCAGCCTACAGTGAAAAGTTTTAATTTCAGCAAGACACGATAAATTTGGTACTGGTCATGATTGGTCACCCAAGAGTCCAGAAACACGGCTCAGCTCAGTCTCTCTCGTCGCCGAAAATGCTCTGCTTTTTGGTTGCAAGTTTTTTAAAGAGAAGTAGTTATCTTTTTATGCCAGATACCATTTGCTTTTTCTGTGATTTGATTTACACTCTGACAATAGGCAGAATGAATATTGTAATTTTGGATGGATTTAGCCTTGCAAAAAACAGCTGCTGAATGTTTCCACAAAATACCTGATACCTCAGAATAATATTAGTAATGAAGACAAATAGCTGTTTATCAGTAAAATGTTTGTAATGTCTCGAATAGGAATATATTGCATAAATTCCCCAACACATCTTTGTGTAATATTACAGAATTTATATTATTACAAAATGTATTATGCAATATATTGTATATAAACAAAACACATGTTTTATACATGATTGCATGAGCAGTCACTTTCCTGGCAGGAAGTCAGATAAATCATTCTCCAGAGCACCTGGACAGATGTTTGCAAACCACCATTTTTGCTTTAATGATATTTTTCTTTTTGTATAAATTCTCTCAGGGACTGGAATAGGTTGATTCAGTTGGGAAACCCTTCAAAAATAATAATTAAAAAAAAAGGTCCTGGCGTAACCTCGTCTGCTCAGCTGTTGCATTTGCTGACACAGTTATTCATATTCTAATGTCCTCCAGCTGTATGGAGAGATCATTGTGGAGGTTTTGGAGAGAGAGCTCGGGATGTGTTTTCGTGCTGGGTTTGGTATTGTCAGTCTTTGGCAGGGCTGCGATCTCCACAGACAAAAGGTGTTTGATCAGGGTTGTATTAGCATGTATTTAGCACGATGAGCATCTTATTCTATCCCATGCTGGAAACTCGCCAGTTTGTGTGAATATGTACATTGCAAATGAATGTTACGTGTGATGCTGCTTGGGTCAATAGACCCAAAAGCCCATAAATTATTTAATATTTTATTTTTAGAGCATCAGGGCAAATGACAAGACACTGTGTGTCTTATGCAGATTTCTATGATGTTTACAAAGAAAAGGCAGTCCAAGAGAATGAGTTAATATTATCAGCCTGAGACCAATTCTGGCCCATCACAACACACAGCAAATATTCATGCACAATATGCATCACACACGCATAATAGGGATGCATGTTATATTTGTACTAAATTGTTTTTTTTAGGACATTAGGAAATGTTTTATTTTATTTTTCTCAAGTTCTATGACTTCTTGTTTTCATTTTTCTGGACTTAATTTAATTAAATCATTAAACCTTTGATAATAAAACGGATGCCTTGCTCTTGGTAGATTTAGATATTTTTCTTCTCTCACGTTCTGCTAATTTAAATTTTGCTAATTTCCTCTATTTTTACTTTTATATTAAGTATGACATCATCTAACACTCACCTAAAGTAAATTTTTTAAAAACCCTAATAATTTAATAACCATGCTAAATGTAATCTTTAGCAAATTTCAAAAGAATATCCAATTTTTCATACTTTAATTCT